TGCCGAACTTCAGGATTCAGACGAGGAGATTGAAAAACTTCAACACTCATCCTCTCTGAAGATACAGCGTTACCGCTCCTGAACAGTGAAGTGTCAATATTGTGCGACACCTCCACAGGCACACCCAGACCCTTGCCGCCGGACTCCCTAACAGACTCGTTTAGTCGCGCGTATCCTGAACCTTCTAAAAGAGCCACGTCTAGTAACACTGATCCAGTAACCTCTACACGTGCTGGGAGGCGTGTACATTGGCCCAAGCGATACGCCGAGTTCGTTAATTAGCCCCAGAGCAACTTCACACTTGGTGAATTCGGAGTTTCAACTACTTTGTCGTGGCATACACTTTCAATGCGTTTTCATACCTAAAGTTTTCAAAAGTCATGTTTACTACTTTGCAAACAGTTTTTTTTTCAAAAAAAAAAAAAGAAAAATCAAAAATACAATTTAAATTCCGAAAATTTTTTTTGGTTGGTTATTATTTTTTTTTCTGTACTCCTCCCACTTCGAATTGTTTGGTTTTCCTTTTCTTAGCACTCTAATGTCCCATTTCTTTCTTCTTGCAGAACCTAGAAAATGCGTTGAAAATTGGATACAATTGGCCGCTGACGATGCTACTTGGATCGTTCTTCGGTTCTCTTTGTACCAATTTCCCCCTGTACACTCCCCGGTAGATTAAGAAGCAATAGGGAAAAGTAGACGGAGGCTTTGGGTCACCTTCCACCACTGCGAGAAGGGTTGCGTCTAGACGCAAAGTTATCTTACCTCGTAGGTGTGCATAGTTGCACTAGCTTCGGAGACCCACACGTCACCTACTCCATCACCAATATGGAAAGGTGTTGCGTGTCCGCCTCGCAGTCGCCTCCTAGGATCGAAGGTTGCCGGTATCCCAACAACCTTCTAGGAGGGGGATAACCTGTAGTGCACCTTCCTGGCACCAAAATATAACTAGGGCTAAAATAAATAGTTTAAATTAAATTAACTAAATAAATCTCTAGCTTGCCTCCGGATGCTTAGGGTGTTTTAAGTTTTGTTTTAACGAGCATGCATCCGAGCAGGCTTGGACGCCATTTTTGCGCTCCATTGTGCTGATCACCACGCACGTACTCCGAGTCCCTAGTTCAGCCTTACAAGCCAGATAAGTTGATTAAACTTTTCCCTCATTCATTATTATTACATTTACCTTAAATACATAGCTCCTTTAAATACATTGCGTATCAGTTCTTTTGATTTGTGTTTTGTTACCAGTACTTACACGTTAGGTAAAGTACTGGTTAAGCAGGTACTAGAGCACATCAAATTAAGTAGGGTTGATCAAACGTTACAGAATTGTAACATGCATCCCTACAAACCGTTATACGATTTTACAACCGGGTTTCACCTAATTGTGTCACTCTCACCATAGACTGCATTTTGTTACCAAGTGACTTTATTCTGTATTAATGATGCGTAGTGTCTAGTAGTAGAATCCAGGACATAAGTTCCATCCCATTTAGGAGTCATAGTCTGGATGTACCTGCCTCCCAGTGGACGATGTTGTTCCCACTAAAACTCGAACTCGGGACCCATTGCTTTAAACGCCAAGGTATCGTTCACCAGGCCACTCAGTCATGACAGGAACTGCTTTCGAGAAGGGTGTAGTATAGTTTTAACGCCATGGCTTGAGAAGTCATGCTTATAGTAGCAGATCATCTCGGCTGAATCAACGACAGTGATTTCCAAGATATAACGTCAGAAGTATCATAAGATAGTTATTAAACCGCCATTATTTACCCTAACAGTCCGCTCTATTTACGAATACATCTGGATTCATTATTTTCTTGCCCATTTATATTATGTCCAGGCGTTTGTATTTCCTGCTGTCGACTGGCCTCACCTTTAATGCATCAATATTTCACGTATTGTAACACAGATGAAGCCTGATTCATCCACTCTCCAAGAGTTACTTTAAAGGTCACCCTAGCAATTAATTGCTGGGATAACCAGTCATACATCAGAATTTCGTCTGGAATGATAGTTTCTCATGGAAAAGACAAAAGTGATTGATTTTCTGAGTAATTGTCAGAATGGTATTCAAAGTCACTGTAGAACTCACACTCTTCCATGGTTCCGCTTACAGCAGCATACCTACAAGCTGAACGATAGCTTATCGTTACAGTATATATCTGCAAATGTTCTGACTTGTTTATATCGATTATTTAGGAAATAAAAGTTCTCAATTTAAATCTGTTTTTGTCTAGCATGTCCAGCACTTTAGAAAATGAATAAAATGGGTTAAAAGTCTTATTTTTATGGTCAGCGTCACAGTGTAATATCCCCATCTCTAACTGTCATCAGCTAGGATGTTTCGGTGGAATATACTACTAGCTAATTTAATGTGTTGGCGAAAAAGTTCTGAAGGCATAGAATTTAAATTTCTTTTTCTCTCTGCCAACATATGAATTCTGGCCATGTCATATGAAAAAGTGTAAAAGGTAAATCAGTACAGCGTCTTACGGTCAGTTTCTCTCCTACATAACTTTGTTCTATGAGGATCGAACATACACACTGACTAGGCGGATATAGTTATGTAATTAGAGATAGGAAGCGTATCTGACTTGGATATACTTCCAAGAACCTGATACATCTTCGAATATTACTGATGAACACCAAGATTCTTGACGTCCCCCCCCCTTCCATCGACGTCCTTCAGATAACTAGAAGTCAAGTGACTGAAGCAGAGGTATGCAACACTGTTTTCATGACAAGAAGGAACTCCTAGCTAGGAAACAACAATATGTTATTCAATAAGAACAGATAGAAATTTGATCATTGGTCGGTTGGAAGCAGTCATCAGGGATTCCTGCTTCACCTGGGCTTTATGCTTCTTCGCGTTCGTCAGTAACGCGTATCTGTCACCTCGAGAGATCTGGTGTCCCCTGCGACATATGAACCCATGTCATACAGTGTTAATGATTATTCGACAACACATGTTCTTTGAGTATTGACTGAGCAGCAAGGTTAGGTGTGAAGTTCTAAGCGAAAGGTTTCAATTTGCGGGTTTGTTGAACGCCGAGATGAGCAATGTTGGTTGCAAAGGGAGCTCTCCTGAAACAAATTGATTGGTTACTGGATAAAGACAATGGTACAAATCTACAAAGTGATTGATTATTGATTTTAGAGGAGTCTATAGTGTCTACCTAGGATAACTGATTTATTTAAAATGTATGCATGAATGATTATAGATTATACCATTCGAAATGGACAACAGTGTTAGTGATGTATACCCTTTTATCTTCCTTAATTCTTTTATCACTGTATCCGTTATATAACGTCAGTTTGTTGATAGACATAGAGAATCTTGGACAAAAACTTTAAATCGTGGGCTAACTGGTCGTTCACTTCCTCAAAACTAAAGAAATAGCTGGGTGGAAGTATCATATGTACGCGTTGCTGAGCAGTCCCATATTAAGACGAAGCGGTTGTCCAATACTTCAGGATTTCCAGCATTTCTTCAACTGATATCAGTCAGTGATGAAAACCCCTCTAAAAAGGTTATACATTATGAGATATTTATGAAATAATAGAGAGTGAAGAAATTACCTTCTACTTGAAGCAGTACAAGATCATTAATGTACTCAACTGGATTTCCTGAGATGGGACCTGGTGGTCCAAAGTTTGATTTCTGCTGCGGTCGTGGGTGTGCACTCCTGAGTAGTTCCATACTAAGACAAAACAACTGTTCAATGCTCCTACACTGTAAATGGTTTCCCCAACTGATGTCAATCCATGATGTGTACAATCCCCACAAATCTCTAGATTGAAATCAATCAATATTATTGTATCGGTGTAATAAACTATAAAAAAAGTTTTTGGAATTAATAACTCAATGATGACTGTCAAGTGTAGACTGACATATGTAGTTAAGTTACTAAAACGACTATCTGCTTATATAATGCAACCAAAGAAAAATCGCCGACCTATATTTCTGATTATGCTCTTTACAGTTGTTCTGTATCTGAAGATCTACAATGGTTCTGAGTACATATACCATATATACTTTCTTTTCAAATAATTAGGAACAAGACTATTTTCATGTTATTTTACTGCAGCACGGCAACTGTCTGTCATTTAACAAATAAACAAAATATTCAATAGGCCACTCAATGAAACTAAATTTGCGCATAGGTTGTAAATGTTTATGTCTGATCAGAAATAAGGAAAGGTATAATCTCCCTTGAGATTATGAATGCTGAATTGTCAGTTATTAAAGTTTTGATCAAAGTTGGTGCACGTACATACACACACGTGTGGCAGGAAGGGGGGCACATTGACAGTGGGTTTAATAGGATGGTGCGATGGAACTAATACAAATAACTATATGTTGATATGTCATCCAACTGACAACTATTTAAGTCCAAAGTCTTTTTGTTTGATGGGAAAGTGATAATAAACGTATTAGAAGCATATAGTAAATCTCCATCTCCATCTGCCTTTGGATCACGTTCAAACATGAAAATATGCAGTATGCACTAAACGTTCTCTAACTACTTCACTTATCAGTGCGGCATGTTGTCATTATACTGTTATTTACTCGTTGATTCAGTTTAGTTTACAGCAAATTCTCGCATAGACCGAAAGACTGACTCATTAGCAGTGCTAAAAAGTTACCTAATATAATACTCAACCGAATTATGTCGTTCAGTACCACCTACAGAATCAATCAAGTCCTTTGTTAGAATGGAAATCTGTTGGTATCGCTAGCCTATGGTTGCAATATTTATTGTGAAATGACAGAAGTCATCAAATGTGTACCAATGAAGTGTAACACGAAGACTGAACTAAGATAGGATGGTCAATTTGAAAGTGATCGACAAATTATACGGCTCACTATGACATTTTCTCCCAGCTGAGTAAATATTCAACTGCTGCCCAACCGTAGTATCAACGAGGTTCTTGCTGGAAACCACCCGCTAGCCAAGATTAAAAGAGTTGATCTCTGACACGAAAGTGTCTTCAAATAGCGGAAGATACTACTACTACTACTACTACTACTACTACTACTACTACTACTACTACTACTACTACTACTACTACTACTACTACTACTACTACTACTACTACTACTACTACTACTACTACTACTACTACTACTACTACTCACACTACTACTACTACTACTACTACTACTACTACTACTCACACTACTACTACTACTACTCACACTACTACTACTACTGAACAACTTGGGTAGCTGCAAACCAATCAGGCTTATCTGTAGATCTGTAAATCACTTGTAAATTGATCATCCTATTTTATGTGTACCGATCGATACAAGTCAACTAACCAGACAGGTTCAGATGATCTGAACTAAGTAGTTTCAGTCCACCACCGATGAGGCTCCTCGCAAACCAGCGAAACAGTCATTCGGTGTTTAAATCACTTTGATGTGGTTGATGAAATACTACAGACCACCTTGAATGGTTTCTAACCACTCATGTTGCTCAGTAGAAGTATGTTTCGCAATGACTGAACAGTAGTGGTCTCATTATGGAAGACTGTAAATATCAACTTAATGGCATATAAAGTCTTAACTGTACACCAATGTTCAGTCCTTAGGTGAGATGAAACATCTGTGCACTGCTCGTCGATTTTCATAAGTTCTTCATGTCATCTTAATCGCTGGTGAAAAATGAATCAAAAATTATTATTCCATACCCAGCCCCCCCCCCCTCACCCTTGATGTAATAAAGCCCTACATTCATTTTCGCTTAATGAGCAGAATGTGCTTACAAATGACCTTCAACTTTCATCGATAAAAACATAGTAGGAAGTCGGGTAGAGTTCAAGAGGTGTGTTTCGTTTCCACTAGAACTCCTGTAATACCATTTGCATCTACATGGGTGCCCGTATTGTCTACTAAAACTAAACTTTCAGTAGGCTTTTTATTTCATATTTTGGTGGGTTATTTACCCAGCTATTGTTGGGTGAAATCGTTATGTAAGTGACTCAACTCATTCTACTTAATGCCAACAATTTAGTTGTGCCGGTAATTCGACTGTGAGTATCAATCTCAATGAATACTTCAAAATGAGTGGGGAAAAGAAATCCATGGAACTAGTGAAACAGTCTTCTTAACTTTCTAAAAACCAGTCATATCTATTGAATGGTGTAAAGCCAATTATTTCACAGAAATTCTTATTGTTGTTATCAAAAAGACTCATTTATGAAAAATACTTTGAATCGATTGTTTTTGTTCCAACAAAGGACAACTCTCTACCTCAAGTTCGTCGACTTCGAAAACGCCTCCGATAGCGTCGACCGAGAATTAATTTGGAAACTGCTTTAACACTACGGAATACCTCTAACCTTTATCAGCCTCATTCATTAGCAGCAATATGATGCTACATGCCAAGTGATTCACAATGAAAAGCTCATCTCACTGATCCCTTTGAAGTGAAGACAGGAGTAAGACAAAGTTGCCACCTACTATCACAGATCATCTTCCTGACTGATCGACTCGACTGGACTGGACGGGATCAAGCAACAAACTGTGAGGAGCTGTGAGAAGATGGGCATACGCTGGCTGGCCGGACCGATGAAAAGACCCAAGAAGAATATTTGGATTTCGCCAACGATGATGATTCATGTCTAATATCGCACGCACAAACTTGAAGATCTGCAGGCAAAAAATAACAAGTTGACAGAAGAGACAGGACAGCGAGGACGGGACTTCAGGTTAATATAGAGGAGACAGAGGTGATGATGATAACCAACCAACACCACCACCAACAACAACAACAAGCTCCAATCACTGTCAACGGGAGAAATCTAAATGAAATAGTCTCTTTCACCTACCTACCTACCTACCTAAGTAGCAACGTTTCAACCACGGGTGGTGGCGGCACATATGAGGATGTCAAAGCCAGGATCGAAAACACAAGACCTGAAATCAGTGTGGACATTTACTGCACCGCACTGCACTCCACTCAGCATAAAAAGTGAACAACATCCAGATTTTCAACACTAATTCACTCAATTAAGTCAATGCCTCTATGTGAGGGTTGACAGACTGAGCACGTCACCAAAACCATTCCCAACAAACTACACACATTCATCAACACCCACCACCTACGCTCACTCCATACTGACACTGAAGATCAGATGGCCAGAATAATGAGAACAAGCAAGGTGGAACTCACTCTGGCTGGCAACCAACCAACCAACAACCCATCGTCCAACACATATGCGGAAGAAAGTGGAGATGGATTGGATTGGACATACACTGAGAAGACTGTTTGAGGAAATCACGCGACAGAACAGCCCTCGATTGGAAGCGAAAAGGAAAACGACGAGTTGGGTGTCCGAGGTGAGGGTGACATGGAGGAGATCATGTGAGGAAGAAATGAAAGCTTGTGGGCAGTGATGGAGTCAGGTTGAAAAGACTGGTGAGAAGAGAGTGGAATGGAGACGTGCTAGTGTAGCCGTATGTTCCACTAGGAACCCAAAGGACAAATAATAATAATAATTAGTAGTTGAGTGGTCACATCCAAAGCTTCAGACTGATTAAAATGGGCTTTTCCATCAAGAGAGTTAACCATTTTTCCTATATCCAGAATACATAAAAGTTTGTATTTCGAAATGACTGTGCATTTTGTAGTCTTGTTGACCTCATCAAGAGTTTGACATTTCTCCGCATTTCCCTTACCATGAGCCTAAGGGTTCAAGGACTTGTTCTTCTGCTTGCTTTTACCATTCCCATAGTTTTTTTTCAATTGAATGTAACTTGGCCAAATACTACATGGTGAGGGGATGCACGTCCTAACTGCTGCAGTTGATGGTGCGGGGGGGGGGGCTTTAACGACATTAACTTATCTTTACCTAAGGTTCTAAATTAACTCCCTTATATCTTCCAACCATCTATAGGTGATGGTAAGTAGGCAAAAATAGACAAATACAATAGACAAATAGACAAAACAGATAGATATTAACTTTCTTCAACGGCGAATTTTAACAATCTGAGCATCCCATTGAGCTGTTAATTCCACTCTCGAAAAGATTTAGGATATCTCCTCTGTGAAAGAGGTAAAAGCCAAGAAAGAAGGATCAGGAGAGGGAATCGGTAGGGTTTATCATCTGTACATATAATAAAAACAGATACTGAGGTTATCAATAACTGTTGAACAACCAATGTCATCTTGTAAGGTTACAAGTACTACTGGAACTGTGTTGACCTAATCCCTAATGTGGTTGGTCAGCTAGAAGATTCAACATTGTGGTACATTTCATTTTTTATTAATTGCATGATGATATAACTACGGGAAAACCATTCTACTTGTTAGAGTGTTCAGAAAGATTGACAAAATCTTTACACGAAGCAACATATGGTCAAAGCCTTTTTCAACCAATCGCTCTTCTTCGAAATTTCGGGGAAAAACACGTGAACTATTGTGTAAGTATCAGGTTGGTTGAATAGATGAAAAGTCGATCGAATTTAAATCCAGTAGGCCTGGAAATAGTTTAGGCTATTGTATTATATATATATATATATATATATATATATATATATATATATATATATATATATATATATATAAACCTAGTAATTTGTATCTATTGTTGCTGTTGATGTTGTAAATACACCTAGTATTCTGTCATCGCCTTTTCTATTTAATGAGGAACTGAGAGACTACTAAGGGTGCTATCTGAAGGTATCTGAACACGCTTTCACATATACATAATTCAGGCTATATCAAGTCACTGGTAAAGTTATATAAAAGTGAATACTGAAGTATATATAATTGTTAAGTTTAATTGTCATTACTGATTTTCTGTCATAGCTAGTAGTAGTTCAGTGTGAAAGAGTTACACTGGTCTGTGTATATTCGAATATTATTTACTGATCACATTGGACACTATCTAGGGTTGTTACCTCACCTTACTGGAAAACATTAATAAAATAAACAGCCTACAGAAAACTCAGATACCTGTACAGATTCTCCACAATCTTATGATTCATCATAACAACTAACGAGATTATTGACAAACAAGTGAGAACATGTTCAAAATAAATTGAACATTGAACAAATCATACTACAAAATGAATCTTCAATCTGCTTGTAATGAATGTACACGTCACACTGATTCAGTCACGTGTACTAGAAATTTGCATAATTACAAGTGAAAATCTTATGAGATATCTGTAATTCATACGATATAAACATGCTATTTTTGAATTAGTTTAGTCGATTTCTGAGTTACTTATCATATACAATGTAAGTTACTTTGAAGTAGCAAGAATAGACCATTGGGTCAGAATTCAATGGTCTATATTCTCTACTTCTGCTATGTCGTGAACTGACAGAACGGAACCTGAAGGTCCCTGGTTCAATCCCTAGTGGGAGAGGTCGTGGGTGTGTACTCCTGGGGAGTCCCATACTAGGACGCAACAGCTTTCCAGTACCCCAGGTTTCCAGTGTTCCTCCAACTGATGTCAGTCCATAATGAATACCAACCTGAAATTAGATATACTTGTTATACAGTAACACGAATTGTTTATCATTTGACTACCTGAGATAACCGTAGTTTGGGAGACTAGTATTTATACTGAGTGATGATTGAGGGTGAGATGAAAATCTGGAGAGCGGCTATCTCAGATAGTCAAAATGCTAATCAGGATGATGCTCCCTGTTTCTGATTCAGTTAGATTTGGATTGGGATGAGAAGTCCTGACTAGGCAGCCAGTGTGAATACGACCAAGCGATAGTAACACGTCACGAACTGTTCATATGGTTGTCGGGCGAAACCCTTAGTGATTGAAGTGAAATAAAAATCTGGTCGTCGGATTTCGTAGATCAGTTGGTAGAGCACCGGGCCGATAACGCGGTGGTCACTGGTTGGAATCCGGCCGCTGTCCAGATTTTCATCTCACATTCAATCATCATCCAGTATAAATAAGAATCAGTTAAAGTGATCATAATACAACTTTAAATCTTTACTACTGAATGTTTCATATTACTGAATGAGAAATTTGAAGTGATCACAGTTCAGAATCACTGAACTGAATCAGTGGTTAACTGCCATTGATCATTATAATAAAAAGGGATGATCGGTTTCCCTTGGTGTATGAACTTACTGAACGGATACCTTGATGTTGCTCCAAGTTTTCTTTCAATTTAGTAGAATCGATAGCACATGTTTCGTCCCGTTTGAGATTCTTCAGCTGGATAGAACTGCATTCTAATGAGAGATGAT